AATGGAGACTGAAGTGAAGGGGGCTCCTGAAGTAAAGGGGAAACTCTGATGTGAAGGGGGATTCTGATATGAAAGAGGGGCTCCTGATGTGAAGGGAGTCTACTGATGCAAAGGGTGACTGTGATATGAAGAACGGGATCTTGACTTGAAGGGGGCATTTTGATGTGAAGTGGTTAACCTACTTTTTTGTGTGTTTTTGCATGGGGTCCCCCTTAAAATCTATGACATTTTAGACTGGGATGCCTTTAACATTTTAAAGGGGGCCATGACTAAAAAATGTTGAAAAACACTGCTCTATCTGCTTTTAATGTGAAGTTATTTATTCACAAAGATTCACAGAGACTCTACTATGGCCCCATTCACACTTGAGCTGAGCGTCTTTTGGTGTTTTTTCTGGCTTTTTTATCTTTGTAAGTGTCTCAGGCTCGAGAGTTTTATTTTGTTTATTTATTTTAACTAATGCAAAGTTAGTTACTAGACAACAAAAAAATACCAATTAAAGCTGCACTTTTTTCAGGCGCTCCCATTAAAGTATATTCGGGTCAAAACACCTGACTCTGCTCCAAGAAAAAGCTCACACACTTTTTAGTTTTGCTACAAGCAACAAATACTCAGGTGTGAACACCGGCCATTAGAAACAATGGCATTCACCGTGTTGAGCGTTGTAGCATTTAGGCATTCAAGCTACAAACCACTCAGGTGTGAATGGGGCCTAAAGTCGTGTTTCTGACACTTTCTAACAGCTTATAAAAGACCAGCTGTGTGTTTACATTAGAGGGCTAGAGGGATTCTGCTCTCTTAAAAACAGGCTTAGATTTCAGATCCTGTGTTGTAAAATTTCAAAATGCTTATAGGTGCGGAGATGAATGAGGGATTGATTTAAAATGCTTTTATTGCATGTTTTAGAATATGTAAATTCTTTAGTGTAAATGATCTGGGCACAGGTTCATTTTAAGGGTTAAATACTAAAGGAATTTATGTTTTAAAAATATATATTTTTTTTATTTTCCAGTTTTGATTTTACAGAGCAGTTGACAGGAAGTGCCCATCATCTGCAGGTGACAGCGGCAACAACACGATTGCACTGTATCCATCAATGATCACTATAGCAAATTCTTACAGTGATGACTGAGGATGAAGCCTTTGCCAGTGGCTCTTGTGCAGAGACCTTAAAATGACAGAGTGTATCTGAAGGAGTGCACACCCATCAGCTGATGTCGGATAAGCTATGTATGCCCTGTGGGCTTTAATTAAGTCTTGCCGGGCATACCTATTGGTCTGCAAGCACTTAAAGGCACAAAACTTGGGGCTGTCATCTTTAACCAAGCTCCACTACTTAGCGAGTCACCTACCTAAAACCAGCAAAGTCTGAAAAGTGTGAATCCATCAGGATGACAGCCCCAAGCTTACAGCTTTAAAAAAGTCAGCAATGGCAGCTTCCGTATTTCTTCATAGTCAATTTGTGAGCTGATAAAGCTTTTCAAAATTTTGTAAATTTACCTTAATCTTTTATGTAATTTTTTTCTATTAGCTTCCCTGCAACACTCACATGTGCTGTCAGGCAGAGCTATCTCATGTCACATAGTCCTGTGTTGTGAAACTTTCCTATCTGTCTTTGTATGAAAGGACAAGAAGACTACAGTAGGTGGGGTTGAGAAAACAAGGCCTTACAGATTCACACAGTTCAGCAATAAGAGTTCCCTGAATACCAGATTACTGCTAGCAAGGACAGTTAAAGCAGTGGGTCGGCCTGATACCTGGAGCTCCAAGGACACTTCATATGGCAGCATAGCCCAATAAGTCGACTTATTTCTTGACACCTGTGATGGGATTTTTGCTATACTGGGCCTGAAAGGGCCAACTGGCTTAAAAAACCCAATGACCCAAAACAAGGCAACAGGAAGGTAAATTATGCTGTAATACATATCTGTAAAAAAACAAAAAACACATGGTTCTATAAGTGCAGCTTAAGTTGAGACTGATACTATCAACTCATGGCTCAGAATGGAGCCCCATGCAAAAGCTTATTCCTCAAACCGAACCTGAGCACAAAAGTTTGTTATGACAGTGCAACCAGTACCGTACGTTTGTACATGCCATACCTCTAATGAGGCAACACTCATCATTGAAACAGATATTCTTACACGGACCACAATATGAGACATGTTACAGCATCTGTGTGAACCCACAATCAGTAAGTGCGTGTACCGTTTATTCATAACTAAATACATGTATCGATTTTCAGGACAAGAAACAAGCCAAGGCTTTGGAACAGAGAAGTGCAAGAACATAACAGAGGCAGTGCATACTTGTACATATAACAATGACAATAGTGCTTAAAGCTTTAAGTGAGTTCAAACACTCTGGAGTGAATGGATCTGTATGATGCTACATAAGATTTGCATGTTATATCTCAGGCCAAAACATTTTCAATGTACCCCGTCATTAGATGACGTTCCAGCACGTTGTACGTAGAGCCTCAAATTAGTACATTTTTGAAACCTGTATCCTAACATCTGTATGCTCAGTGAAGGCACAAAGAGGCGGCATTACCGGTTCTTTGTAATGTCAGAAGGGTTATTAAAGGGGTTTTCTTTTCAAAATATTCTTTTTACGGAACACACTACTGGGCGATGTGGCGCTGATTGAGGTCACAGTCATGCCTTCTAATCCAAAACGTGGACATCTGTAAGCCCCACAGCTAATTTGCATATAATATGCTCAGTCCAAGTGGTCAACCGGAAAATATTTCGACCAACTACTTCCATTTGCCCCTTGAAGGTCTCAGCATGCCTTCCAAGAAGAATTTCAGTAGCAGGGTAGGTGAGACGTGGTAAATAGTACAGATCTGCGTCCTGCAAGTCCCAAAGCCAATTAAGCTTGGGATGTTCAGACTCTTCTATATTTTGGCTCCATAAAAATCTTCACTGGCATATGTCTGTGAAAGTTCTCATCCATCCAGGTCATGGTATATCCGTAAAAATTAAGTCAAGGCAACTGGACTTGCTGTATTTTTCTCGAAGACGTTTCTGGTTGTGACTAACAGATTATGTGGATTGGAGCAACATTCACCATATTTATTCCCAGAACTTTTTTTGTACAAGTCATTCTGAATTGAGAAAGCTGGTCGGATGTCCAGTGAAACGTCTTCAAGAAAAATACAGCAAGTCCAGTTGCCTTGACTTATTTTTTACAGATATCTTCAATGGCACTTGCAGTAGCTAAATACCGGGCTGCCTAACACGCGATGAGACTTGCAGCATGCAGATTGGGGCCATCACTACACGAGTGTCCATATTTGGGCACAATGCTCACTTTGGTATGCCCACATCGTCTCTTAACCCTTCCACAAAAATAATGTTGGTCGGTAGGGAAAGGAACTGTGCTGTCTTGCTGGGATTAAACCAGAAATTTTACGTGTCTCCTGGTTCTCTCCTTGGCAGGTTGGTCACCAAAGACCTTCCTTTGACAGCTGGTCACTGAACCATAGTAGTTACCTTCCAAGTAAGAAGAATCCCAGTTTCCTTACAAAAAAGATAGTAGGGTAAGTGAGTAGATGTGGTAAATAGTACAGATCTGCTTCCTGAAAGTCCCAAAGGCTTTGGGATGTTCAACCTCTTCTAAATGTTGGCTCCATAAAACTCTTCACTGGCACTTACAGTTGCTGAATACCGGGCCTAGCTCGCAATGAGACTTGCAGCAAGCAGATTGGGGCCATCATCACACAAGTGTCCATATTTGGGCACAATGCTCGCTTTGCTAAGCCCCACATCGTCTCTTGACCCTTCAACAAAAATAGTGTTGGTTGGTAAGGAAAGGAACTGTGCTCCCTCTCTCCTTGGCAGGTCGGTCACCAAAAAAGACCTTCCTTTGACAGCTGACCACTAAACCATAGTAGTTACCTTTCAAGTAAGAAGAATTCCAGTTTCCTTAAAAAAAGGTAGTAGGGTAGGTGAGTAGACGTGGTAAGTAGTACAGATCTGCTTCCTGAAAGTCCCAAAGCCAATTAAGCTTGGGATGTTCAACCTCTTCCAAATTTTGGCTCCATAAAACACTTCACTGGCACTTACAGTTGCTCAATACCGGGCCTAACACGCAATGAGACTTGCAACAAGCAGATTGGGGCCCATACCACACAAGTGTCCATATTTGGGCACAATGCTCGCTTTGATAAGCCCAACATCGTCACTTGACCCTTCCACCAAAAAAGCGTTGGTTGGTAAGAAAGGGAACTGCACTGTCTTGCTGGTATTAAACCAGAAATTTAACGTGTCTCCTGGCAGGTTGGTCACCAAGGAAGGCCTTCCTTTGACAGCTGGTTCCTGAACCATATTTGTTTACCATCTTGATAAGCAGGATCAAATTTCTGAATGTAACCTCTGGACCTCCTCAACTTTATAGAGGAAGCCGGGAACCATAACTTTCTAGAACAGTTGTATCCCCCACCCGAAGGTAGGGTTAAGGGAGGAAAAAAAATGGCAGAAAGGCCCTTTAAAGTTCAACTGATGGTGAACATTTTGTGAACTCAACCTTTTAATCGTGAGATTACAAACCTCCTTAGCCACCAGTGACATCACTGAGTGCCTTAAGTCCTCACTGGATATATTGAGGTTCAACCCACAAAACATGGGCCTTCACTGAGCATAGCCACACAACCATCAGTCTTTGTGTACACACCTGCAAGTCCTATCAGCTTGTGAACCTTTCAAAACAATTTCTTTCTGTGACAACGAACGAAAATACATATTTAGGGACCTATCTGCATATTTTAACATAACAAACACTCGAAGGGTCCAAATATTATTAAATAATTATAAATTAAAAAATGCGAAGATGTCAAAATTAGTAAAAAAAAAAAAAAAGGAAAAAACAAAGTTTATACATACAGATAATTTAAAAAATAAACATTAAAATTCATATGTTTTGAGCTAATATTGTTGCTTCTCGTTTTTTTGGGTTTTTTTTCGTCTTTTTGTTTACATAAGCAATGTTTTTTTTAAATTCATATTGTATATTTTTTTTTTTTGCTTGCTTTGTTTTAAGGCATTAAAATAAACTTGAGATATGAGATAAGTGCATTTTGCAAATGTTCGAAGTCTGTACCATCATCCAGATACGAAATTGTATAAAATAAAAAAACATTTCGTAAGGCGTACGTTTTGTGCAGCTTTCGGTTGAAAAAAATTCCCTTTTTTTTTTTACAGTACGTAAGGCAGGTTTCAGCATTTTTTTGGTATTGTATTAGGCACGTCCATTTAAATTCCTAAAATTTTCTCCTGTTTTTTTTTTTCTCTCCCGCAAAAAGTCACATCTGACGATGTTTATTTTCGTACTCGTAAAAACTATAATTTTCTTTGGAATGCTTCAGTTCAATATAAATATTAATAAAAAGAAATAGTTTAAGGCAATGTGGCTTTTAGCCCCTTTTTTTTTAATAACAAAATGGCACGATTGTTGATTGGTGGGTTGTATCGCATAAGAATTTCAAGTCTTTCTGAGTCACGCTCAAAATATCAATTGGTATATAAAAGGATTAAGGCACGTATGGATTTTTTTCTTAACAAAATAGAGTTTGAAATAGTCTAAGGCCACAGGTAAGAGCGAACGATCAATAAGGCCTCCACACTGACTCATCCATGCGACCGCTAGAATTTAAGACAGTGGGGGAGCTGCTGTGGCTGCCATCTGCATCAACGCCATCATTCTGGTTGCCCAGATTGGGGTTTAGCAATGTGCTGCCGTTGGAAGTGGTGCACGGAGGAAGCATCCGAGATGGAGAGCGGTCGCCCCCCGGGACCATTGGGAACTGGTAGGATCCAGATGATGTACCGTAGTAGAGATAAGGAGTGCTGCTGGTTTGGAAGGGTCCACTTTGGTTCTGGGAGGAGCCGGGGTAAGGAGGTGGTAAGTAAGTGTGATAGTGAGTGGTTGCAGACATACCCAGCGACATCCCTGAGGTGACTGGCGGAGTGTAAGTAAATGTTGCGGGGTAGTGCATTCGTGGGTTCGAGAAGCGGCTCTCCGTTAACGAAGAAATGCTTGTAAACTGCCTGGGATCGGAAAATGGACCCAGCTCTGAGGCACCTGAAAAAAAAAATGCAAAGAATTATTAATTATTATTTATTATCCATTCATTGTTGCAAAGCTATTTGGACCTATGTGACGTTATTTGCAATAAACAACATTTTCTTAGCATTTTGGAGTGCTGGTGACCAATCTTCACATCTTCAATAACCATACCATGCTTTTTACTAGTAAGTTGGTACAATTGGAAAATGTGAGAATTTGCCTTAAAGCCTAACTCCCCTCGAATCGTATTTATTTATACAATGTGGCCAAGGGATTGGACATCGGTCAGGTTTTTTATTTGAGGTCTGTGTACCCATTGGAGAGATTTCTTCTCACTTTCCGTCAGGAGAGGAAACCTCTCTGGTGTGAAAACAGATTGCATCCAAATCCATTTTGTTTTTGCAAAATATGGACGGGTCAGAACCTCTCCCAGATTATCGCTACAGAGTCTTCCTTTTCCAAGTGACAACCGCTCCAGTCTATCCAAAAATAAAGGGTAACTTCACTTTCACAGTCACATTTGGGAAAATGGAATTACCCCCTCCAATCTAGCCCTTTCTCTTACCTCTCCCCCCCCCATCCCCCGCTCTCCCCTTCTGTGACAGTCTCACAAGATTTGGAGTGATGTTTGGCAATGTCCCTTCTGTGCTGCACACTGTGCTTCTTGCTGGAGAGGAAGCTGTGCCTGAGGACCTGCAGGGTAAGGATCTCCTTGCTTCTGTTTCATCCATTCTGCCGAACTGAGCTTCCTGCACCTCTCCTGCTGCTTTTTAAATATCACTCCACCCATCATCAGATCACCAATCTTCAGAGGGGCATCTGTTGACAACAGGGAAGCAAAGCCCTGCTTATCGACCATGATGATCACTGATACGCTGACACAGAGAGTCACTAAAGGGGAAAAGATACCCCAAAGAAAGCCATTTGTGGGGGGCACAGCTTCCACAGTACAGGTCCTCTTTGATATAACTCATACAGATTGGAGAACCGAGTCCAATGAAAGCTGTAGGAGCCTGTCAAAGGAGACATAAGCAGGCTGTAGAAGAAGGTCAACAATGGCTACACGTTTTCTCATGACAGTTCTCCATTAAAAGAAAAATAAGGACGGTGCCTCTTCTAATATTAAATATGGTAACTTCTAGAGCTCTGTAAATGGTTCAAAATTGTTCAAGTTCTGTAAATGATTCAAAAGCTGATAAGTCAGGTGATCAGTGGTGGTTGCGTTTTATTTAAAGGGGGTGGGGGGCTCCTGGTTGGGATTATGAATGTGAAGTAAGGAGTGGATCCTGGTACGTCTTCAGCCGCTATTAGGTGACGGAACACACGTTTCCATTTTCCATCCTCACTTGTAACCAGAAAAATCAATTCAAAGAGCAATAAATAAGCAAATTAAAACCCGACCCAAACAGGCTGCAGCTACGACACCTTGGCTTTTTTTTTTCTTCTACAACCTACATTAGGCCGCTCAGGTTTTTCTCAGAGGGCAGAACAATTAAAATGTCATGTGTTTCCAGTTAGAATGTTGCAGAAGTCTCATTAAAATGTTCAGGCTTGGCCCTGTGCCAGCCAAGCCCGTCTACATCTCAATAGCTGATTCTTTCCTCAACCCCCCACCCCCAGTTTGTGGAATTCCATGGCCTAGCCCGCCGTGTCATGACCGTTCTCGAAACGTATGCCAGGTAATGTCACTTGCCATTCATGTAACAATTAGAAGCCAAAAGATGTGCATGCAAGGAGTAACGGAGAACACAGTTTCCCTCTGACTCATGGCGAGCCTTCGGCCTTTCATTCCCAATTACAATAGCGGGGGGAAATTACTTCCTCATTGGCCAGTCAGCCTAATTGCACGATAATGGTTACAATAATTCGGCGACTTATATGCGGCCGTCTCTGCGTCAGCTTGCATTATGCTCTTGTTAGACGCAGTGCAGGTAGAGACCACTAGGGGCAGAGTTGGGGCCCAGCCAGTTGGTTATATAGAAACAGTCTATTTATCGAGACCTTATCTGAGAGGCACCAAGGCGCATGGGAGCAGGTTTCAGCCCAAAAGGCCAAAAATGGCTAATTGTCTGTATGTCACAAACATGAGGCTGCTCATAGGAGGAACATTCATTAAAGTAGAACTCCAACCAGAACTTTTTCCCCCTACTTTTGTATGGCGTGGTGGAAAAGTTAAAAGCAATGTCAGGTTTGTATATAGGGCTGTGTCCCCATTATTTTGGTGACAATTGCAAAGCAAGGGGTTGTCACCTGAAAAGGAAATCTTCCAATGAGGACAATTGAACAGAGACAATATACAGGAACCTTTGGTAGGGCTGAACATTCGCTCTGAATATTCTCTCAGAACCAGAACTTTTTTGTTTTGGATATATTAGGGAATGGTTAGAACCCATCACTTTTTCTTTGCTGAGATTTCCCCGCATTTCCTGTACTGAAGACACAACAAGAATATACTGGAAATCCCTCTCATTTCCGGAGATATCCCTCAAAGGTCACCAGAAAAGATGTCCCCATCGGAAGAATCCCCTCTAATTCTGTTCTGGAGGCACCCGCAACATTTTGGATTTCCTATCACGTTCTATCCCGTGACAATGGCCACCAGGACAAACAGAGAGGGTAAATCTCCCCAGTGGGGACGCACACAGTAATGAAACCTAATGGGGTTTCAACCTTTCCTACCTTATCCAAACTATAGATACACCATACAATCCAACTATAGATACACCATACAATCCAACTATAGATACACCATACAATCCAACTATAGATACACCATACAATCCAACTATAGATACACCATACAATCCAACTATAGATACACCATACAATCCAACTATAGATACACCATACAATCCAACTATAGATACACCATACAATCCAGTGCACAGGAAACGTGCGGTCTGGTCTATAGTCTGGTCTGCAGCAATGAGTACGATTTCTTTTTTTAACCTTATTTGTTTATTTGCTTATTTGCCGAGCAACGCAACTATTTCCTTCCTGATTAGCTCCTGTAGGTGTTGGAGTGGGGTTTGTGCTTTATTTTAGTTTTTTGCTGTTGTTGCTGTTGCTGATGATATTAATCTGACAGAAGAGTGCTCGGAAAGTGTCTTTGGAAGCTCTATGCGAGCATCATTGTCTATGCGAGCATCATTGTCTATGCGAGCATCATTGTCTATGCGAGCATCATTGTCTATGCGAGCATCATTGAGTAGGTGTTGGAGTGGGTTTTTTGCTGTATTTTTGTTTATTGGTGCTTTTTCTGTTACTGAAGATTCATTGTCTATGCGAGCATCATTGTCCATGCGAGCATCATTGTCTATGCGAGCATCATTGTCTATGCGAGCATCATTGTCAATGCGAGCATCATTGTCATGAAGATATCCATCACCCTCAGCCCGGTGGTTTAGTGGCTGGTGCTTCTAACTTGCATCACTGGGTTCTTGGTTCACATCCCAGCCAGGACACTATCTGCATGGAGTTTGCATGCTATCTTTGTGCCTGGGTAGGTTTCCTCCCACAAACCACAGACATGATGGTTGGTTAAAGTGGAAGTTCACCTTAGAATTACATTAAACAGCCATATACAGTAACACATGTACCTTGCTAAATGCATAGCACTTAGCAATCATTGGAAACTTCCGGACATTTACCAGTGACATCATGCCCCTCGCTGGGTCTATAGATACTTATTTCCTATGCTCTTCAGCCCCATCTAGTGGCCAAACTGTAGTATCACATGACAATCTATTCAAACTGGCAAGAAATATATTAAATACATTAAAAAAATATATATATGTAAAGATTGCTCAACAGAGCTCACCCAATATAGCTAAAGATGGTGAAAAATTAAACAAAAGGAAAAATTGTTTAGCTGAGCGTGGTTAAAAAAAATAATTAAAATCTAAAAATGTAAATATTGCTTAGTGGAGAAAATGTGATGGCCAAGATGGCTGCCTCCCCTCTCAAACTTTCAGAGGTCCCCAGGGAGAAAAATTATAGAAATACAAAAAAAAAAAAATCAAATAGTTGATTGAAGCAATGGGAAAATATAATGTGCACTATATTAAAGAACGTGCATGCACGACGTGTCCCACATCCCTGCTCCGGAACGTTGGGAGTTATCTTGCAAAGTTTGCGACGTTTATGTTTACGTTTTATTTAATCCGCGTCGTTTTGAACAGGAAGAGGAAGGCGGAATTGAGGATCTTTTAATTTACAAACTGAGAGTAAACAAAGTCTTCTTCAGAATACCCAAACATTGTCACTAATAAACATTTCTTTGTTGGCATTGAGGGTCAGGCTGATCCGAAAAACAAAAACTCTGCAGCTATTTGTTCTTCCCGGCAGAGGAATAATATTTACGGTTCTGCCCAGGAGTAATAAAACTGTATTTGTTTACACCGCTCGGTACATGGCGGCCCACGGAGGGACCCGAGACGATGAGTGTTCATGGAAATGGATTGCAGACATCTGAAGATCAAATATTTGTCTAACTTAATGGCTTCAATTGCGCTCGGCCACAACATGAAGTTCTCACAGGAGGAGGAGTACAAAAAAAGATAGTAATGACAGTACTGTGTTATATTGTATCGTATTGTATTGACTTGTATCCCATTGTATCGCTTTGTATTGATTTGTTTTATATTGTATTGCTTTGTATCATATTATATTGCTTTGTATCTTGTTGTATTGCTTTGTATTGCATTGTATTGATCTGTACCATATTGTATTGCTTTATATCATATTATATTGCTTTGTATCACATTTTATTGCTTGTATTGTATTGCTTGTAATGCTTTGTGCCGCATTGTATTGAATTGTATCATATTATATTGCTTTGTATCTTACATTGATTTGTACCGTATTGTATCTCTTTGTATCATATTGTTTTGCTTTGTATCATATTGCATTGATTTGTATCGTACTATATTGCTGTGTATCGTATTGTCTTGCTTTGCATCTATTGCTTTGATCTGTACCATATTGTATTGCTTTATATCATATTATATTGCTTT